CTTAGTTCTAAGCATGAATGCATTAGGATTGAACTGTAAGGAAAGAAGTGTTCTGCCCGAATCATTATTTCCAAGTAAACAATTTTGGCACTGAAATATTAGAAATATTTGGCATGTAAAAGCATTCATAATCACTAAGGTTAGGTTGTTCGGGGAACAGTATGGAAAGAATTCCAGTTCTGAAGTGATGTGTCTGTTTCCATATGGTTTATCAAATCTGTATTCTGTGCTGATCACTATTATGAAAATACTATTTATGCATCATACTAAAGCATAGGTAAATGAACCTAAGCAAACCTTGAGCTCTGTCCCCATTTTTGCATAGGATAAGTAGTTTAGAAGCTACTGCTTCTCCTTAAATGCAGTTTATCATTTTGACTCAACTGACACTAGTTGATGATAAATATGGGCTTCTCTGAAACAAGCCAGTTTGAAACAAGTTGGTTTGTTTCAAATAATCCATAGTTACTGCTAACTAGGCTTTGACCATTTAGATAAAATGACAAATCATAATGAGGCAAAAGCAGAAATGAAAGTTAACAAACTTTTCTTGACCACTACAGGAGAAGTAAAGGGGGGCAGGAGCTTATGAACCTTGGACTTGGTCAGCCAGTGTTCGTATTACTATGTGTGTGTGTGTGTGTGTGTAGTAGCAGTAGTGTCCCAAATGTATGTATGCAGAATTAGGTCATTGCTGGCTCAGTTCTTGCATATCTTAAAGCTGTTAACTTAAATTTAAGATGCTGGCTGCTTTTATTAAGGATAATAGAGAAGCTACACAGTGCATCTGCCTCTGTGAAGTTATTCTGGTAGGTTATAACTAGCTCTGTAGGATCACTAAGTTGTAATGAATACTGTCAGTTAAGCACTACATTTTAATACAGTGCTGAAATGAGAAACACACTGATTACCTTAAAAGCTTTTTAAAAGTTGCATGCATTTCTACCAGTATCTAAGTACTACCGCTGTTAATGAAAAGAACTCTTCAATCTATTCTCACATCATCCTTAAAATAGGCACTTCTAAAAGCTTTCCATAGACATACCATAACTTTATAAAACAGAGGCTACTTCAGGTGTGCCAAGGGCTTGGATGTGCCTTGGGTTTGGATATGTGTATCAGGACATCTGCTTTGAACGGTAGACACACATGCTAAATAGCAAGCAAGTCCCACTTTCAGCTACCTGTAAGGGGAATATTTATTTATTTATTAAAACATTTTTATGCCGCCCCATTCGCCGAAGCTTCGGGGCGGCTTACAACATACTTACCTGCCTGGGATCTTCATAAACATTTTGTAATGTCTAGAGTACAGTCCAAAGATGAAAGGATCCCAAATGGGTATACATCCTGGTGGGTAACTCAACTAATTTAAGCTGAGAGGTCAAATAACTGTTACAGCTACATCATCAAAAGATTACTGTCAAAATATTTGTTGAAAATATATATGCAAGTATTCGTTGCATAGACACACACATGCATATATAATTTTCTCTATGAAGTGGATGTCTGTATGCCAATCAGTAGAACTGAGTCATGTATAGATAAATTGAACATGCCAATTCCATAGGTATCCAGGAAAATAATGGTTTCTCTCTTTTACACCTCCTTGTCCCCAAAGATGGCAAATCCACAAAAGTTTTTAATATTTTTATTGTATAATTTGTTATATTTGTATATTTTGTTCTTGTTGTGAGCTGCCCCGAGGCTTTGTTGTGATGGGGGTGGCATAAAAATGTTTTAAATAAATAAAAAATAAAAAGTCACGAGGAAGAGAACTGTGGGTTCGTGGTGATCTCGTATGGCCTTAAGCCATGGCAGAATAAAAGCAGAATACAGGCATAAGCCCACAGTTTACCTAGAGGCCAGCTTGCTTTCCTTTATCCTACAGCCTGATGGAGGAAGGGTGATTGTTTGGAGGATGCATCCTTTGCAGTTTATGTTGCCCTTGCGGGAGCTTGGTCAGGATCAGAAGGGAACGGATTCTTAGGAGTCTAATGAAATCCCACTAAAGGACTGTTTAAGTTGTAAAAGGACAGAGCACCTAACAGCTTAATAACGTCCAAAGGGGGAAGGACAGAATCATTGGAAGCGCACTATCAGGAAACCAGACCCTGACTTCAAGAATGCTTTACATATTCAACATACTTCAGCACCTGTGGCATACTGTGAATTGCTGATCCCTGATTCTGAGTAGTTTAGCACATTATTGTGCTATAGAACAGCAGTTAAGTTTTCTCTCTTCCTCTACTATTCCTTGCTATGGGGTGTGTGGGTGCAGGGGAGGAGCACATATTCTGATATAATGCCATCTTGATTTGTTGTAGATACCAATTACTAACTAGGCATTTAATTGCTCATATTCAGGGAATACTGTCCTCTAGAGGGAGTTACTGCTGTACAGGATTCACAGTAGCTCAACAGCAGAGCACTTGCACAGCATACAAATAGTCCTCTGTTTAATGATAATACTAGTGAGAAGGGTTTCAGGAAGCATTGCTAGTAAAGGTCTTGGAAAAGCTAATACTAGTTAAAGTAAATGCAGACCTATGGTTAAAGAGCAATTGTTCAGATAAGATTATATGCATTGGATTAAAAAGTAATGGATTTTTTTTTATTGAAACAACCCCTACCCCACACACGCACACACACACAAGCCTTGAGCAAGCAGTCATATTGGTGCAATTTTTCTGTTAATCTTTGAACATTCCAGTTCCTTGTTTGTGAGATCACCTATGCTGCTAAGATTCACAACAATCAGGAATATTATTTCAGTACTCAAGACACTCAAAATACTTTGGGCCACTTGGAGGCAACTATAGATTGCTTGCAAACAGCCTAATTTTAATCTAGGGGAAGTAATTTGGTAGTCCCAATTTTTCAGATGCTCCTGAGGCTGTTCTGTTAATCCCAGAAGTGGGATGGCACTGGCAAGGAAAATAAGGATTGGGTCCCTTTAGTGACAAGAAGCAGTGACTGCACACCTTACTCTGATCTTTTTTGTCAAACTCAGCTTGTGAATTTCTTTGTAGTGGGGAAGTTTCAGTCTATTTTATCCCTGCAGCGTATTATGCAAGCTGGAAGTGACATGTAAGAATACTAGGTAAGAACTTTAGTTAGTCTTCCTCATAGAAAAGTATGCAAGATGTGTTTAAGCAAATGGGAAAAAACCTGTCCCAGTGGAACTTTCTTCCAGATTTATGTAGTCAATTCAAAAGCACCATGGAAAGAAAGGAGTTTTCCATTCTTCTGAGCTCATTAGAACTGTGGCTATTAAAAGCTAAGTGAACTGTGTGATCTTCTAATAAATGGCAAATACAGCATACAGCTCATTGTCCAAAGTAAAAGGAGAGAACAACACTACTTTGAACCAAACTCTACTACTTTGAATCAAGTCCAAAAAAGCTACCAAATAAAAGCAAAGTAATTCTAGTACAACTTCCATAACAACCCAAATATTAGCCGTCCAGATACCTGCTGGGTATTGGACAGGGTAAAATACCCAAACAAACAAACAAATAAATAATTCAAACTTATATTCAGCAGTCATCATGAGTTTTTTTTTTAATTTTTTACTAACCAGTTGCTATGGTGTTAATACTTCAATGCTGTAAAATAATTGCTCCATGTAATTCTCCACTAGATGGCCTCATAAATATTACAGATGATTGAATGTAAAATAATCTCTAACTCCAGTAGAATCAATTAAAATGGAATCCCTGACTATTCACTAACAAAATCAGAGATCCTCTGTTGATCACTGTGGGAACAGAAGCCAGAGCCAAGGGCAAATTCATTCTCCTTGGATAATATTCAAGGCCACTGAATGCTGAATATTTATTTAGACTTCCAGGCTAGCCCAGGTTTGGAGTCTGAATCAGTGAAATACCAGAGTTAAGCATGCCATCCAAAAAGTATGCCATCACCCACAGCAATTTACAACTGCTATCCGGGTCATCACAATATTACACAAAACGGCTGTAGCTCCTTTAACAAATGCTGCAATCAATGCTTCATTCTGTAAAGTAGTCATTTAAGATATATTACTATGTCTGATGGAATCAAGTGGTATTGTGGGGCAGTAATGATTGCAATAGAATTCACAGGATCAAAAACCATTCCTTTAAGTAGAGGCCAAACAGTTCAGAGCTTTATGTATAAAATCAGCTTTATGCTTATAAGACAATAACAGCTGATGAAGATGTTGGAGCATTTCTGTAAGATTGATTGATTGATTGATTGTATTTGCTGCCCCATAGCCAGAAGCTCACATCACTGTATTGTGTTCCAGTTTAAATTTCTGGACAGTTTTCAAGCAGGATTTTGCTAATGTTAGCCCATAGAAAGTAATGTGCAACAATTATCTGAATGAGAAATGAACATTTTTTTGCAGAAAAAGAAATTGGTAAAAAGCCACGCCAGTCACTGGAATGACCTTAAGGTTTTGGAACATCATGAAGCTGTGAAACTGAATGACCAGGTGCCTCTGAATGCCCAGAGACAATGGGATTTCCTAAATGCTTATGTTACTAAGGGATTACCCCAATTCAGTTGGTTCAACTGGCCTTGTTTCAATTTTATTAAGGGCCTGGCTGTAGTTGTACATTTTGTAGGCTTTGGATCTGATGGAAAGGCAAGTTGAATATTGCCAGCATTCTGTGTTGCTTTGCCAGTGAAAGAACAGTACTGCTACTGGCGTGAAATGAGACAGTTTTGTATGCTTCATTATAAACATGTAATATGTAACTTCTTAAGTCTTTACATTTTAACTCTGGTATATGAGAGTTTGAACTAGGTAGTGCTATTATTTATAACTGTTTTATATAACAGTTGAATCTTACACATGTGTACCTGGACAGATTCGTGAAGGAGGAGGCTATCAGTGGTTACTAGCCTTGCTAGCTATGTGGGACCTCCTTTAGCAGAGGTGGCGTGCCTGCATACACCAGTTGCTGAGGAGCTTGGGCAGGAGGAGGTCTTGCAGCCATCCTGCTTGAAGAATCCTGTGGGCAACTGTTTTGCCACCATGTGTATGGAGTGCTGGACTAGATAGACTTTTGCTCTAATCCAGCCTTGTATTTCTTTCTTTTGTTTTTTTTTAGGTTATTTGGATATATGTCTCTTCAATTTCAGTTGGATCTAGTCCCAGATAAGTTACATAGGTTTGGCATCCTAATGGGGAAGCTAGTTTTGATTCTTCACTCGTTTATGTGTGCAATTCTCTGAGGTAAATAATTACAGTGACCATTTTGCACATGAGAAACAGAGGCTAAACAGAGCATCCAAAGAGCACCCAAATGTGTATATAGCTAGCTGCCCAGATTGCCAGGTTACTCAGCCTTCCATTTGCTGTGCAGTTAGTATCACCGCATCTTCAAATCTAAACTGATTATACAGTAGCATGAGCTGTGTGACAGCCAGAATAGACATGATTTGTACTCAAACTATTATCACAATAAAATTTATTTTGCAAGAACTACAGCAGGCTGTTTTTCTAATATAGCTCAAGATTGGACATGGGGTCCATAGTAGTCATTGTTTTGTTTAAAACACTTAAAATGCCAAAACAAAACAAAAAAGGGGGGAAAGAAAAAAAATCAGATTCTTAAGAAAAACACATGGGCCACAATAAGTAAATCATCTATAGCAACACAGTAATTAAATGCAGACAATGGCTTACAATGAAAGCTGAACAGAGATGAACATCCCTTCAGTAGGTGAAGAAATTCAAAGCAAAGGGGCTACCATAGTCAGTGTCCTATCCCTGGCCATAATTGGCCTAACCTGACCTATTCTAGAAGGTGGAATAGGACACGTGGCATGGGGCATGATTTTCTAGCCACCAATTAAATGTTGCTGTGCCATAAAACAACTTGCTTACGATTTGAATCCAGAGTTCCTTCACTTGCCCATTGGATTGTTGAAGGAGGTGAAACATTGCAGCATATATCAGAAGTTCACCTAAAAGCCGTAATTTTGCTATGCAGGAGCTAGAACCTGCTAAGGAAGAACCCTAGCCTATAAATGTTCTTAAAAACATGAAATAATATCTGGTGTCATGCCACCAAAATCCACAGTTAGCAAATGGTGAGTTTGAAAATGTAGCAAGAATGAGCACTTGTGTCGGTTTCCACCTGCTTGCTCACATCTCATCCCTGGAATTCTGGGTTTTTGGGGGAATGCCCAAATCAGGTACAAATTTTATATTTTTCATTCTTTCACAATGAAGAGTTCTGGGATTGGGTACCATGTTAAAACAGAAAAGCAAACAGGTGTATTGCAATGGAAAAAACACTGGTGTGGGAAACCAGTATACACACTTTTGCTGCATTTCTAACATTTCACAGTTGTTTGCAATGCATATCTCTGGAGTATTCTATTACTTAATAGGTTTATGTACAGCTTACCATATATAAAAAACCTCTACATGCTTATACACTATAGTGACATTTTAAATAAGCATCTAAATATATTTGAGCAGAAAAGGAGTGCAACAATAGCACTGAATAATAGCAATAGCCATTACAGTTTTGCTCTTTTAAATTAGTTTATGTGTGTGTGTGTCTTTTTAACTTTTAAGTTTAACTTCTGTTAACATCCCAGAGAGCTTCTGCTATTGGGAGGTATAAAATGAAATAAATAAATAAACACGCACAAAACTGGACACCATAGTAAAGTTTTAGCACCTAAAATGTAAGCTCAAATGACTTAAAGCAGGAGTCAGGACAATATTCATAAATAGGCTTGAAGTATGGAACACATGGTAGATCTTCATCCGACCTCAGTCTAGTAGAAAGCTACTACTTTGGCTATTGAATGATGTCCCATGTTGCATGCAAACCGTTGATTTAGCACACGTATGCCTCATTTTTCAAGTATTTTGAAGCAAGGCTGACACTTGATATATGTTAAATGAATTAATTCTTTCTCATCTGAAATATTTTACTAGATGTCCTTGGTAGATTTGGGAAAGAAGCTTTTAGAAGCTGCACGAGCAGGGCAAGATGATGAAGTTCGCATTTTGATGGCCAATGGTGCACCTTTTACTACAGACTGGGTAACAACTGCATCTTTTTAATTGAATATTTGGTTTTGTACATGCACGGTTTGTTTTTATATACTGTTTTGAGATAAACTTACGAGTTTCAGTACAAAGTTACTGATCGGTACAAAGTTTATAATCTGTACAAAGTTACTGATTACAAATGAATTAATATAATTTGTAATCAGTATTATGTAGAGTGTATGAATTCGATGTTTGTGACAAGAACAAGTTCAGCTTAGACTTGGTCAGGTTTCTAAGGGTTTAACAGGCATTGCCCCACAAGGGATAGATTATAATTGTTACATATAAAGTTTTTGAGATGCTAATTTCTGCATCATTATGATCACCAGAAGCAACAACATAACATGTCAATATGTTGCACTGCACTCACTGTACCAAGTTCTGTGCTTGTATTGTGTAAGCATGAGTCTGCAGATTACATCTCTGTAAATACATTTATGTCAAGTTATAACTTAAGTTTTGCTTGAAACTTTTGATATCTCAGCTGGAGGCACTTTAGACTTATGTTCATACTAACTTGATTGCTAATGAGTTTCTTGTTAGGATTTTGATGATATTCCACTTGCATGATATGTTGTGGTATTTTACATTGATATATATGCTTGGAAACTCATTGGCAACTTGCTTACCTATAAAATCTTTGGCCATACTTGCACAAAATACTAAGGCAGAATTCTGGAGAACCCTAGCTTATTGTTTATAAGCAAGCTGGTTCCTCCTCCTGGCAGAAGCAACTTCAGTAAACAGGAACTCACCAACAGGGAAAAGTTTAGCAGAACCTGATTCCCAGCTTGTTAATCTTCTAACAAGCCAAGGATGAGAAGCTAGCTTCAAAGCCCTGTTTTCAGATTCTGCCTTGTTAGGGGAGCAACAAACCCAAGAGTTGCAGTTTGGATAGAAAGCTTTTTTTTCCTCTGGTGATTTCCTGGTTATGCTTCTGCTGGCGGGGGAGCCATGCAAGAACAACCCAATAACGTGTATCGGTACACTTACTCTTGCACAATAAGCCATAAATTATTGTGAGCCGCCCCGAGGCTTCGGCGAATGGGGCGGCATAAAAATGTTTTAATAAATAAATAAATCTTTGAAAGCCTGGCTTCTTGTTTTGTGCAAACATAACTTTCTGGGATGTGAGATCATCTGCCTGCCTGTGAAATACATGCATCAAAATAAGGATGACCATATTATTTTTCTGACCATATTTACTTATATATAGCAGGCTTTTGTATATACCCTAAAGAAAACATGAATCATTAATTCAAAGCAGAAGGCACATTATCTAATTTTCCTACTGTCTTCTTGAATATTTATTATTCATGAAATTGAACCTAGATAAAAAAGGTCTTTCTGTGTTCTGATGAAAAGTGGAAGTTGCCAAGAGCTGTGTGCATGTGAGCTTAATGAAAATAGCCCGGACCACAAGAGTTTGTAGACTATCTTTCCTTAAACCACTTCTACATTCTTTAAAAAGATTGTTGTCACTATGTGCTCTGAAGTTATCTCTGACTTAAAGCAACCCTATGAATGCATTCATTTGAAAATGTATTTTCCTTCAGAACCTCTTCACTTCTTCTAAATTCAAGGCTGTGGCTTCCTTTATGGAGTCAATCCATCTCATATTTGATCTTCCCTTTCATCTTCTGCCTTCAACTTTCTCTACTCAAAATAAATACAGTCTTATCAGTGTCATTAGTTTAGAGGGTGTTGGGGGAATTATGTCTGTGTTTTGTGTATTCTAGTAGGGAGACAGAGATAGAAGGAAAGCCTTACACACTTTTTTGGGGGACTAACAATCCACTTAATATATTGTCTTGCAGCTGGGAACATCTCCGCTTCATTTAGCAGCACAATATGGGCACTATTCAACCACTGAAGTGTTACTTCGAGCAGGTGTAAGTCGAGATGCCAGGACCAAAGTGGACAGAACTCCATTGCATATGGCAGCTTCTGAAGGCCATGCAAGTATTGTAGAAGTTTTACTTAAGGTACATTTTATACCCTTTTATATTAACTGCCCAAAGACTGAAATGCAACTTAAATACTAATTGGCATGAATAGGAATTGTCATTATTAGTGGTCTCAAAAGGAGTTATTTCAAAACATTGCCTAGAATTGAAAGGGCTCTTTGTGCAGCCTGGGGCTTTTCCAAAGCACCTCCTTATTGCAGTCTCTTTCCCAACTACCCTAGTCTCCAAAGTGTTCTGTGGACTAGAAGCATGTGATACATTGTACTGGAGGAATCTGTGGCATCACAGATGTGGATATTTTAGACTTGATAATGTACACCGTACAAGACATGTATTGACTATTGCTTATTAACCATTATACGAAAAGTGAAATCAAACCTTTGACATTGAATAATAAAGTAATAATGTCTTGCTACCCAGCACTCTTCTTTCCTCAAATAACCATTGATTCTGTGATGGGCATTAATTCACAGCATCCTTCCTTAGCCTACTTTGCAAATTAATTCTTACTATTAGTTCCTGAGAATTCACTGTGGCCCTGCTAGTGTCTTCTCTTTAATACAGTTTTCACATCTGTGAAGAAGAACTGTGGTGTAGTAGTTAAGAGTTTGGGACTGAGAGTCAGGAGATCTGGGTCCAGTCCCACTCAGCCATGCTCTTGGGTGAATTTGGGCCAGTCACATATTCTCAGCCCAGCTTATGGAAACAATTGAGAGGAGGAGAATTATGGGAGCAACCTTAAGTTCCTTGAAAGGAAAAAAGGCAGGAAATAAATATAATAAATAGATTAAAATATTACTAAATACATTAAACATTTTCAGTACCTCTTCACTTGGCATTTCATGAGAAGACATCTTATATATATTTATTGCATTTATATCCCAGCTTTTTCTACAATGAATTCAAGGTGGCTGTCTGTTTCACCCTCACATTCTAACTTCTGCAGTGCTACAAGAGAAGTTGCTTATGCTTCTTAGTGATGTCTGTATTTCTTGACACCGATACGCTGTGGGTTTTGTCTCAGTTATGCTGTTGTTGTTGTACCTGTAAAATGCTGTAAAATGCAAATAATGCCATGTATATTTAAGGATTTATCCAATTCATAGTGGTTAGTAGTCTGGTTAGTGACATGGTAACAGGAATGGAAGTAACTATTTGATTGACTGTGTTTCTCAATTTTTAAAACCAGGAACAAATGTGATCTAGTTTTTTTTTATTGTAGCATGGTGCTGATGTAAATGCAAAAGACATGCTGAAGATGACTGCTCTTCACTGGGCTACAGAACACAACCACCAAGAAGTAGTGGAACTCTTAATAAAGTATGGTGCAGATGTCCATACGCAGAGTAAATTTTGCAAAACGGCATTAGACATTGCTCTAGACAATGGATATGAAGAGCTGGCAGAAATATTACAGGTAACTCAAAGAATGCTTCCTTAAAGACTTTCCTGGACCTCCATAGCTTTTCCTTTCTGTGTAGTTTTGAATAATACAGTTATTTCCTATTCCATTGTCATGGCTTCTTTATCACACTACACTCTTCCTTATCCATTTAATAGCCTACCACTATAGCCTACCACTTCTGTATGGTTTCTGGAAGGTGCTAAATAGATTTCATTGAGTAGCAAAGGTTGTTATATATTAGCTGTGGTTTTTAATTGAAGCCCTTGGTTGCTATTCTTCACATAATCTGCTTAAATTTCATTGGCTTTTATGGATTTGAAGCAGCCGTGATGTGCAAAAATTGCAACTTTCACAACTACATTATATTCTAGTGAATCTAGTAAAAAATCCTATATTAGTTAACTAGATTACAGCTTAACTGGGTTTCTGGCCCTTTTAGTTATATAACTTGATGACATTCTTCAGCTGATTTATGCGAACAACAAAGTTCCCCTTCATTTTCGAGTGTGACTGTGTGTATGCCTGTTTCAAACACTATTTTTCTGCTAGGTCATCTCACAAGATTCCTTCTTCCCTACATAAGCCGAGCCTGGCTTGTAGTGCATGCCTTCTTCACAAAGTCCTCTGAGATGATGTATTAGTTTAATTTCTGTATGTCTGATTTATCTGCTGTGAATCATACTGAGAGTTTTCTCTCTGAGGATAATGTGTTATTCCTCTAAGGACTGTGGAAAAAAGATGTTATTGTTGTCTTTTGTTATAGATTGCAATGCAGAACCAAATCAACACAAATCCAGAAAGTCCTGACACTGTGACGATACATGCAGCAACACCACAGTTCATCATTGGACCTGGCGGGGTAGTGAACCTAACAGGTCTGGTATCTTCTGCAAATACATCAAATAGAGCAGGTATTCAGATGCACAGGGGATTGTAAATGACTCGTTCACCCAGTTAACCCCCCTAGTAAACTATTGGAAATAAAATGATGGTAAGGTTATAGCAAGTACATTGTTTCTTTTGTTGTTGTCGTTGTCATCATCTTGTGAATATCTGATTTTTAGAATAGCATTTCCGATGGCAGCAAATTACTTTCAAATTGCAGCTTTGCTTTGAAGTGATTATTTGCACATTCAGAATGAGACAGTGAGAGTGTAGAACATTCCTGGTTATTTCAGTAAAGCTTCAGCTTCATCTATGCAGAGAAGTATTTACCTGAAATTAAGCCTGTTATTGAAGGAGCGGAAAAGCTTGCTTGTGCAGGAGAAGTTGAACCACATGTCTGGTTCTGGATATGAGGACAAGATTATGTTCTTGCATATAATATTTGAAATGAATATTTATGTAACATTCTGAATGGTGTATGGTTTGTGACTGTATTTTCTTTGTAGATGACACAGGAGTGTCTGCTGTTCAGTTTGGTAATTCCTCAACATCAGTATTAGCAACGTTGGCTGCCTTAGCAGAAGCTTCAGCTCCACTGTCCAACTCATCAGAAACACCAGGTGAAAATATTATTTGAACAGATTCATTTTTAAATAATAATATTTTTAAAGCAATAAGAAAACGCACTGTTTGGTAGGCTGACAGGGGTGTGATTTAAATGGGTAAGATGGTACACAGGGAAAGTTCTAGCAACACATTGTCCTCCCCATCTAAAGTTTCATTCTCCCCACCTCCATGAGATGAAAGCTTCTATCTGGTCTTTGACATTTCTGACACAAATCATGTGCCAAAACTATAGAAAAGCCTCCCACTTTTTATATTCTTCAAGACCCTTGTAACACTGCTTGAATGTTTGAACACTGTTTGAATTGACTCTGTTTATGATAGCCTTTGTGCTTCAGCATTTCATTGATTCGTAACGGTCTCCAGTTAAAGCCAAAAAGGCAGTATAGATGGAACTCAATTAATTATACTTTAAAGAGCTAATAAGTGTCCAGGTAGAGGAAAAATAGTGCTGAGTGTTAAAGTGTTTTCTAAGGTTAAATAACTTTTGAATTGTGCAGTATAATTGAAGTGTAAGATTTTGCTATCTTATGAACAAGCTCTGACTCTTCGCGACCCCATGAACAATATTCCTGCAGGTTCTCCTGTCCTCTAACATCCCCCAGAGTCCACCCAACCCCACATCCACCTCCCCAGTAACCCCATCCAGCCACCTCAACCTCTGACGTCCCCTTCTTTTGCCTTCAATCTTTCCCAGCATCAGGGTCTTTCCCAATGAGTCCTTTTGTCTCATTAGGTTCAGTATCTGGCCTTCTAAGGAGCATTCAGGGTTGATTTCCTATAGGACTGACTGGTTTGATCTCTTTGCAGTCCAAGGGACTCGCAGGAGTCTTCTCCAACACCACAATTCAAAAGCATCAGTTCTTCGGCCTTAGCCTTCCTTATGGTCCAACGCTCACAGCCATACATTACAACTGGGAAAACCATAGCTCTGAATATAAAAACTTTTGTTGGCAGGGTGATGTCTCTGCTTTTTAGTATGCTATCTCGATTTGACATAGCTTTCTTAACTCAACTTGGTGTGGGTTAGGAGAAGTAACTGAGCATTAGCTGTGTCAACATTCACAAACAGATAACAGCTTAAAACAAAATAGAGTGCTTTTATTAGGAAAAAAGTAACATGCACACATGCCTTTCACACGTAATACAGAAGCAGACAGAGCTATACTTAAAACAAATCTGCTAGCAGAGGCCCTGTCTCCTCATTATCTCAAAAAAGTGTTCTTATAGTCCAGATAGAAGGCAAAGCCTTCAGATTAAACTTCCTTTTATAACCTTAAATCTTATGCTAGACCTGTTTACAGTTTTTTTAGGAAAATCAACAGGGTCTGAATTCAAGTAGTTTAGTTCCTGTAAGTGCTAGATACTTCATTTCCTTTATTTCTGATGTTCAAGCAAAAGAAATTGCTTATGTTGCTAACATGGCAACAGCCATGTAGAAGTAACAATGGTACTGAGAAAACTGCAGCTTTGCTGAAGTACAAAAGTATTTAGGAACACACAAACAGACACACTGAGTAGGGCAAAACCAAACCAGTGCGAGTGGAGCATGCTCAGTCACCATGGAGGCTGGCTTTCTACTGAAATATGAGTAGATGGAGAAGGAATTAGATGGGGTATCTGGAGGATGGCATGGTTGACTGAGTGGAACTGGGAGCAGGTGCCCTCCCTCCGGCAACCTTTTATTGTAGACTCCAGAGGTAATTTCTAAAAACAAGTTCATTGATACGCTTCTTGATTATATGCTTTTTCTTAAATCATGTAACAGTTGTGGCTACAGAAGAAGTGGTGACTGCAGAATCTGTAGATGGTGCAATCCAGCAAGTGGTCAGTTCCGGAGGCCAGCAGGTCATTACCATAGTAACGGACGGCATCCAGCTTGGAAACCTCCATTCTATTCCCACTAGTGGAATGGGTCAGCCCATTATTGTGACCATGCCAGATGGGCAGCAAGGTGAGTGGGAAGCAGGAGATAAAATGAGAACTGCAAATTCACTTTTGGAAAAAAGCATATGAATACATGTTTATACTTACATTTGGCTCCATATTCACTATATCCCACAAATGCATTTAGGGAAAAATGGAAAGGAAGCATACAGGCACATTATTTATTTATTTTTATTTATCTATTAAAGCTTTTCTATCCCACCCCCTACAAATGTCTCAGGATGGCTTACAATACAAAGAAGTGCTATAAAGAAAGAGGCTGGAAGGAGCAACTAGCAAAGGTCTAACATTCAATTTCCAAAATAGGTTAAAAGAGTTTCACACCGTATAATTATATTTTGAATACATGGGAACTCTGAAGTAAGAGGCAGTTATAGCGACCCTTGAACCTTTGATTCCTTTATAGCCCAGAAGTAAAGAAAAGCTTGAAGTGGGTTGTAAGAGTTAACAAATATACTCATCCCTTCACATTCATGGGGGTTAGGGGTGCAGGACTACTACAAAATGAGTAAAACCATGAATACCTATAGTGTTTCCCCACCCAACCTTAACTGTTGAACAAACATGTACTAGATTGTTCCCTCCCACACTGTGTGTGTGTCTGTGCACCCACTAGTGTAGCTGAAGTAACCGCTTTACAAATGTCTCTTTCCTTTTTCTTGATACACTGTATATACCAGCATATAAGACAACTCCCAATTTTTGCTTTGACCTCTTTGGTTTTTTCACCTTTTTGGTGATCGTGTATGCCTGTATATATGGTAATAACATGTGGAACAAGCAACCAGGAATCATGTTTTAGAAAATACCCATATATATCAGGTATTTTTTAGTCTACATGTGTCATCTGCAATTTTCCGCAGTAGGCTACCCTGCCAAAAAAATCAGTTTAATGTTTGATGGCAAACTTGTAAATAATCAAAATAAACCTGTGAAGGTTGAGGTGTGACTACATCGAGGTGATGTAATGGTCTCTGAGCAAGTTGTACTTTTGAAAGCCCTGGTTGCAAAGTACAGGATTTCCATGTAGGGAACATGATATACTGCCCTGGAAAGTTCCTTTTGGAGGTGACCTCTCCTTCAGGAAGCACTGAATAAGAGCAGTGGGGTGGGGGTGGGGAGAAGGTACTGGAACAATGGAAAGCTTTAACAATAGTGTACAGAGAATGATTTGCTTCCCATATGTAAAAAGAAGGAAATAAACTGTTTCCTGGTATCTCTGATAGTAACTGTAGGCCTCCTATAAGGCACAGCTAGACAAAAGGAAAAGAGATGAAGCTTTTAAAGGGGAGAATTAGGGAATGAGACTTAGCTCTGCTTCGCTCCTCCTACACTTGGCAGTTATCCCCTGCAAACACGCTTCTCCACCCGCAAACCATGCTCGTTTGTTGTTTTTGAGTCTAGTCAGGAATGGGGTGGAAAGCAACTAAAAGCAGATAGTGGGAGAGGCACATGGGACAATTAGCAGGTTGTGCAAGGCCAGGCATCCGCAATGTTCCTGTCCAGGGTGCCCTCCTCTGCAGCTCCATACAAATATTTCAAGATTGGAACCCTTTCATTTCTCTAGTCATATTTAACTCTGCATGAAAACATTTCCCTGCTTGCCCACTGAGACCATGCTGATTAGTAGTGACATGTATTTCATTCTTTGCTCCTGCAGCACCTGAACCTGATAGAAATGTGACACTAGCTAGAGTTAAGAGAACAGGGGTGTGGGATGGTGTGCTCCCTGACCAATTACTCCTATGTGTAAACCTCCTTCTCTGAATCTGCTTTTGGAGGTTTGACGGGTACTTAGCAGGGATGGGGCCTTTTTTGTGTTAATGCCCTGATCCTCATTATTAGTATCCTAATTGAAATGTCTTCTCCGGTGATACTGCTTGGTGCCTGCCCCACTTTTAGGCACCAAGTTAGCACTGTTTTATTCTCTCAAGCTTATGTTGGGCAGTAACAAGATTTTTGTCATCTGTTGTCCGCTTATTTTGTGGCTGTTAATTCTGTTACTGTCTTGTGTGTGTGTGCGTGTTTAGATTGATTTAATTTTATTTTATTTGACATTGCTTTATTTTGTAAATACCTTGATGCCCGTACAAGTGAAAAACATGGAAAACTACAGTTTATCATGACAGGATAACCACAGTTTGTTGTTGCAACCAAACCTACAAAAAGTTTTTTAACCATGGTTTATTTGAAAGCATCCAACTTCAAACCATGGGTTATTAAGCTGACTTCTTTCAGCAAAACAGAGTTAATATTAACCACAGTTTGGGCTTCAAATGTAATGCTAAACTGTAGTTAATCAACAATGGAAGCCAAAGCTTCTGATCTTCAAGAAACTTCTGAATGTGTTGGAAAAAGGCAGGACAGGAGCCAGGGAAATGTTTGAGCCTGAAGGTTGCTGCCACCCATTTCCACCACCGTAAACTGTGATTTATCACAACATCCAAACACAACCAAAATAATCTTCATATTTTGATGCAAACTTATTTTAATTGAAGTACTTACAGTACCGGCAACAGACATTGCTGAAGAAACCGTGATCAGTGAAGAGCCTCCAGTCAAGAGACAGTGTATTGAGATAGTTGAAAATCGGGTGGACTCTGCAGAAATAGAAGTAAGAAATCTGTTAGCTGAGATGTTTTATGCAGATTTTCTAAACTGTTTCATTTAGTTTATCTTTACAGTTATTTTTGTATTTCCACAAAATAAGGAATTTGTCATTCCATTATACGTTTGTCTGTAATATATCTGTTTACTGTGAATGAGTCATGGTATGTGGTTTGATAGATGGAAGTACAATCTCACAGTTCCTCAGTAAGAACTCAGAATTTGGTCTGAAAGGAGATCCAATATTCATGCTATTCTTATTAGCTCAAAAATGAAAAATGTTAATTACTATGCCTAAAAGTACTAAAGGTTTGGTATAAAATATGTAATAGATTTAAAGAGCTTTCTTTGAAATGTGAATAAAATTAAGATACTTTTGAACTACCTGTATTTCTGTATTGGCAGTTTTACTGCTGATTTCAACTTTATTTTGATCACAAGGCTACCCATACTGTAGCTGTGGTAGATAATATTAGGCCATTGTATTTTCAAAATTCTATTGTATAAAATACCATTTTGTGGTTTTTGAATGGCCTGGAAGACTGCATTATTATGATTTGGTAATTAAGTTTAGATAGTGTATTGACTATGTTGTTTCTCTTATTGTGGTATCATGTGAACTTTCTTTATTGTTTTAAGGTATTAGTGCAAGCTTTTCTTGCTGCACTTTTTTTTTAACATGGGCAAAGTTTTATATGTGCAATTAAAAGCAAGGATTCTGTTCACAAATTAGTTTTGTTTCTTATTTGAAAATGTAAGCTTCTCAGTCACAATATTTGAGTGCTTTTTAGATGCTTCATGGGCTCACAACAGTTCAACCCCTGTTCTATGGGCTGCTCAGTGTTGTACTAAGATGATGCTTACATCATGGGGTATTGTCATTAATATGTTGCTTTCTGGCTCAAATCCTCTGTCCTTTGCTATAAAATAGATACTGTTCTGGCTTTCATTATGCTTAGAAGTTTCTCTTTTATTATTAGAATTGTACATTGCCATCAGGTTACAAGTTGCATTGCAGGGGAAAGATAAACACAAAGCACCAACCTGAGTAGCTTGTAGCCTATATTTTGACAGTGGTGAAAGCAAGGGGTATAGAAAGAGGCAGGATCGCTAGGAATAATTGTTAGCAAAATGCTTTGTTCCATCCATGATGAAGCTGAGGGTTAAAGCCACAGGCTTTCCAGAAAGGCAGGTTTTGAAGAGGAATTTGAGGGAGGAGAGTTGGCCCCATATACTTATTTGTTTATTTACTTTCACATTCCCATAGGACCCTGGTGATTGAAAAGTGATTTAAATTGTTGAAGGCAGGAGTTCTAAGCAAGTGTGAATAGGCAGAATATCTGGGATACAAGAGACTTCAGGGCATTAGAAGTGTCATCTGACTAGCAGTTAATAGGTTCTTAAATTCTGTAGTTTTGTGTATTGGGACACAATACAACAGGGTGATATGAAAATTGACAAGAAGAAAAGTGGAATTTGGAATAGGGAAAAGGAGCTGATTCTCTAAAACTATGTGTAAGATGAACTTAGATTACATTCTTGGAAGGTACCCAGAAGTAAATCTTGTTTACTTCTGGGTACCTTCCAAGAAGTAAATCTTGTTTACTTCTGAGTAAATCTTGTTTAAATGAGGTTTACTTCCTAGTAGGCATGTTGCAAGCAAAAGTAATGATCATTAATGGGAAAGAGAATGAGGATTTTTAACTTCTTGTTTCATTTCAGCAAAGCTGTATTTACAGAGGGACAAAGCCTTTTTAGTACTACCTTGCGATTAAAGTAGAAACTGTAGCTGAAATTAGTTTATTTATAAAAGCATGAATTAGTTTATTTATAAAAGCTTATTTATACAAGCTTTTATTTGTATAAAGGTCAGAACAAAGCCATTTCCTAGGTAATTATTTTTAATAATGAAGAAATGCTAGCTTTTCCATCATGGAAGATGGCAGCATCTCAAAAACCTGAGCATTTGGTTGACCAAGAATGCTATCTGGGATATTCTGTGGGATGGAAATAATTTTCCTTGCTTTGAACTCTCAAGTAGTTTTCTTCCCTGTCATCAAATAAAAATGGAGGAGGTAGGTTTGATCTGCAATTGACTTGCTGAATAATTTAAAATCAAAAATTCAGTCAAGACACTATCCAAGCAGTCTCCCTTGGAGAAATGGATGTAAATTAAAATCCGGGGTTAAAGCTCATGATGGATGTACTCTTTGAGTAAGACTATTAGCTGGGGAACAGAGATTATAGCAACTGATAGCCCTCTGCTGTAGAAAGATAATTTTGCCATCTGTGGGAACAGAATTAAGCCTGAAATCTTTTTCAGAGGTTAGGCTTACAGTAGTGGTTGTCTATCAGTAGGTTCTTTTCTCTCCCCCAAGTATACAGTATCCTGTGCCACGATGCAGCTCACCATCTATTGAACCCCTCAGTTTAGTCCTATGCAGCTTTACCATGCCTTTCCTTGCAGTAGACATACTTTTCCCTTTAGCTTCCAGTGGCTGCTGTCAGTTCAGTCCTAAGTCTCTGATGTCTCAGAGAAAACAAAGGCACCAACATTAACAGCTGAGCAATGGTTCTGTGAGAAAGGGACCAGCTCCCTGGGTGATAGACTGGGGATGGCCAGGTTGCCTGGCCCATTCCCGTTGTTATAGGTCAAGATCATAAACACCATATGGCCTTGGCAGCTGCAGCTATCACCATTAAGTTACTTTGAATTGGGAAATACAGGAGGATGCTTAGACCAAGATAAAAGAATGAGAATACTCCAGTCTGTTTTTCTAGACTGCTTCCTTGGTTTGAAACACATGAACAGAAGGATACCTTGCTCCCATGCAAGGACATGTTTGACCTGTGGACTCAAATATGTTGTTTCCCCAGAGCACAGATTAGTGATATAACTGAAAGATGGCCAAGGTTCATGCAGCCCACAGACACATACCCCTTCTTTCTGATACATGTGGGGAAAATGACACTGCCAAGCGGAGCTTTACAGAAATCATGTCAGACTTTGAAGCTTTGGCGAGGAAAGGGAAGAACTTTGGGCCCCAGATAGAAAAATACTCCAAGTGAATGCCTGGTTATGAAGGTGGTATTGATGTGAGAGATTTGGATTCTGGTACCACAGGCTACACTTCGTGGAAGATGGACTGGTGGCAAAGGATGGGTTGCACCTTATAAGAACAGGAAAAAAGGTGTTTGGCACAGCATGAAGAAGTATATCAGGAGCACTCTAAACTGAATCCTAAAGGCGAGGAACAAGTACACCTGGCTGCAACATAAGACAAAGGCTTATGCACCAGAACAGAGGGAGCATCTTGAACAGTGCAGGGAATGCTTATCAAATTTGCAGGTGACACAAAATTGGGTGGAAAAGCTAATACCCTGGAAGTCAAAAAGTCTCAAGGTGATCCTGATAGGTTTGAACATTGGGTTAAAAAAACAGAATGAAATTCAGTAGGGACAAATGCCAGGTTTTGCACCCAGGAAAAAGGAACTAAGTGCAGTTTTACAAGATGGGGAATACTTGACTCAGCAATACTGCAAGTAAGAAGGATCCTGGAATTGTTGTAGATCACAAACCGAATTTAGGCCAACAATGTGATGTGCCTGCAAAAACGGCAAAGAGTGCATTAATAGATGTATCACTTCCAAATCATGTGAAGTACTAGTTTCCCTTTACTCAGCATCGGTTAGGCCTTCTCTCGAGTACTGTAACCAGTTCTGGGCACCACAGCTTACAAAAGATGTAGACAAGCTGGAAAGGGCTCAGAGGACAGAAACGAGAATGATCCAGGGACTGGGAACAAAGCCCTATGAGGAGAGATTGACAGAACTGGGTGTGTTTAGCTATGAGAAGAGAAGACTGAGGGGAGATATGATAGCACCCTACAAGTACCTGAAAGGCTGTCACAGAGAGAAAGGACAGGATCTCTTCTTGGTCATCCCAGAATACAGGACACAAATTAATGGGCTCAGGTTACAGGAAGCCAGAGTCCAGGAAAAAAATTAGTGAGGGAACTTGTGGGCGCTTTCACACTAGAGGAATTCTAGATGCAGCTGGACAGACAGACAGACAGGAGAGGGATGGTTTAACGTGGTGTCCTGCACTGAGCAAGGTGTTGGACCTGATGGCATTTTGGCCCCTTCCAACTCTACTATGATTCTCTCACCCTTTTTGCTTCTGGACAGAATGCAGAAATGAGGGAAAATACACAGCTGGTAGGTGGATAGATTGTACCCACTGAAGGCAAATTCAGCCACTCTATACATATTTGTGTGAAGGGCCATAACAAATACCTCCAATAAGTATGTAAATAATTTCAGAGTGATTAAAGAGATGAAGTGAGAGAGCTGTGTGTTTTTGTTAGTGTGTTCTCCTGGCTCATGAAGCTTCTATAGAATGCATCGTCTAGCGGGTAGTTGCATGTCTGATGTCACAGACGGGATTCGCAAGTGAAGAACCATGCCGTAGACCTAATGCCTCTGAAGCTACAGTGGACCGTGAAAGCCTAGTGGAAAATAACAGCCCCAGTGGGAACTTGGCAGACTTTAGAAAGTCCTGAGAACCTTGTCTGAGCTTTACAACATGAAGCAATAGAAATATTATGTAGGTTCTTCCGGCTCATGAATGACTCTTTGTTCATGCACATTGTTTGAGTGGGTGTGGAGTTCTTTGATGGAAGGTCATTGGCTCTAGACAAGTGATGCCACTTGTGCTTTGTGATAGAATACACTGGTATGGTTGTGAGCCGCCCTGATATGGTTGTGAGCCGCCCCAAGGCTTTGGCGAATGGGGCAGCATAGAAGTCCCCTAAATAAATAAATAAATCAGTTAAATGTTTTAAATTTAAAATAATTTAAATAATCTATAATTTAAATTTAAAGGAGAAGAGAAAAATGGTGATCTCGTCAGTCTAAAATTCCAATCCTTGCTGCTGCATGTACTGCTCAGGTTCAGGGCACTGGGGTGGGTTGGTGGGGTTAAATAAACTGATTTGAGTGTGTGTATTTAGGCTCAAAGTTTCTAGACCACTGGCTTTAATCCCTCTGTTAAACATAGTGTGTAAATCCTAAAAACAGGCTGCATTTTCAAGAATAAAATCATGGCGTCTTAAGCAATGAACAACAGCTACTTTGACTAGAAATCCAAATAGTGCAGCCTACTCATTTCTATCCCTGCCGCCTCCCAGCCAGGTTTGCTAAACATCAACATTGCTTTTAAATGATACTTCTGTTGACAATCACTTCTGGACAATAATATTTTGCTTAAACTAAAATACAAATGAACCTTCTAACCTGAATACAGCAACTTTGCCAGCAGACAAACCAGGAAGTGTTCTATTAACTGTTGTTTCTCGACGTGTCTCGGTACGTCCTGAGATATTAAGCCAAAACTATGGCTTCATATACCAGATTGTTCTGACACTGTTAACCATGGTTTCCTGGTTCAGAAGCAAAGAGAAACTATAAATGATAGAGGACTTGCTGGTTTGTTCTCTTGCTGAGGAAAGGAAGCAGTGAATGCAATATGTGGGGTTTATTAAGCAAGATATAATGATCCAGATGCAGTATATTTTAAAATATTTTTTCTATGTAGAAGTTCCAAGTATATGCCACCAGTTTTCTGTTTGTCTTTAACAAATTAACATTTGCAAAAATTTACAAACTAGTCTATTGATTTAATTTCTCACACCAAAGACATTTGACTAAATCTTTCTGTTTTATATTTAATAGGAAAGAGAAACTTTACAAAAACAGCTGGATGAGGCCAATCGAGAAGCACAGAAGTACCGCCAGCAACTTCTCAAGAAAGAGCAGGAGGCAGAAGCCTATAGGCAGAAGTTGGAGGCAATGACTCGCCTCCAGACTAACAAAGAAGCTGTTTGAATGGTTGAAGCAAGCGTTTTATAAAGCCAGTTAAGGAAACTGCAGTACAATCTGGACCTGCATGCCATATAGGCATGGACCCAGGATTATATTCTAGAGAAGATGCTACAGGTTTGAAACTGGACTTAAGCCATGAGCTCTGATGAATTTCTTGTATCATAAAAACCCCCTCAGAATTTACACATTTTGTGCAAAAAATATTTAAAAAGAAATACTGTAAATAGTTGTTTTTTTACAGTTCCAAAATTCGTTGCTTAATCTTTTTGAAGGGATCCACAAACATGCAAAACCAATGTTTTGTGACCTTTTTGATTTTAGTATAAAACTGCTGAAACACAGAACAGTTTTAAGGGTGATAGCTGTTGATTTAAACTGACAGTGTAAAAAATGAATTATGTGACAGAACCAATCCTGAGAGCTAGCAGCTTAGATATCTGAGTCAAATATCTTTCCTGAGTGGAAATCTTTTGTACAGCTTTAAGTAGTTGCCCAGAATCTCTGAATCCTGCCCCTCTTTTTTAGGAAAAAAATGTAATTTTTATATTTAATTCCTGATATATTCAAGTAGATTGACATGTATATGAAGCTGATATTTTTTAAACTTTTCAGTTTGTATATATGCTGCATGTTTTTTAATAATTTCTATATACATCTTACATAAGTATTTTTCAGGAAAGAGGAGGGAAAATTATGAGAAAAAAGGTTTAACATACAGGTCATGGATTGTGGGGAGGGAAACAAGCTGGTGGATCATTGCTGGGCTTTTCTTTAAATTAGGAATGGCATTTCTTGGAGGAATGTAGGTTGGGAGAACTAAAAGAAAACCAAAACCAGTATTTATGTAATATATGAATAATTTGAAACTATTATGGTCAGAGCATGAAATGTATACTATACATTTCTAGTATATCTTACAAAATTGGACTATAATTCTGCAGGTAGAGATCAAGCAAAGAATGTCTCCATAAGACTTCTCCTCCCCTATTGTGTTACCACCATTGGAAAGACTGTTTCTTGACAGAATATTCATATTACAGGGCTATAAACAAGGTAGATGCAGTGAACACCAAAAGATAGTAGGTATGTGTAATTTTGATTGATTAAAAGCAGGTACAAATAAGCTGAGCTCATAAAAACAATTGGCAGTCTATGTATACAGACAGGTAAATAGGAAACCGGCTGCTGGCGTATAGTTGTACAAATTACTGAAGAGGGTGGAAGCAATTTACAAGAATGAGGTCAGGGAAAGAAATAAACATACTACATTCCACGTCTCAGTGAAGAACACAGAGCAGGCCTTGGCTCAAAGAGTGCCCAAGTCACAGTCTGTGCAGCACAGCAATAACATGGTGAGATGCCGCAGGGGATACGGAGTTCAGCTGGAGTCTTTGGATGTGTCTGCTCACACTGCAGCTACTCTTCCTACAAGCTGGGGCCCTTGTTGGTTTTCCTCACATTGCTGCTCCTCATACTGCTCTCCTTCCAGAAGTGTGACTTTCATGTATGAACAATATCAAAGGTGGGAAAGTTGAATTCTCTACAATTGCCCTGAAATGAAATGAATGAAAGTAATCAAGAAGAAGATGGGCTTTGAATGGAAATCAGTTCCTCTGCTCATTTATTCCTTCTGTTCTGCAACTGCTGTGATCTCTCATCTCTTACGATGTCAGTATAGTTTGGAAAGGAAAACGTTTTTGTTTGTGTTGTTAATGTTTGTGCCCACTCAACACATTGAGTAGTAGTCAGAATGTTATTTTTCTTGTTTTTCTTCACACAACAAGCTGGAATCAAGATTGCCCTAATCATTAATTCTGGAGACAGGTTTCTGCACTTAATATCATCAGTTAAACAGCAGCGGCGGGGGGGGGGGGCATACAGAGAGGGCTAGGTTGGCTCTATTGACACCTACATATATTTCTGACAGATATGATAACATTTGGATCTTTTAAGTTACCAAAAATAAGAACCTTTGTATTTTCAGTGTATAATGCTTTCAATCTTCAAAGCATTTAATATCAGCAGATAGGAGGGCAGTCCTAAACGATCATACATATGAGTAGTTCCCAGTTGGTAGAAATATTTCTTTCATAGGATTGAGATCTTAAATCTTTAGTACATCTATGAAAAGTAGATAGGTAAGTAGCACTTGGTCCCAAATGGGAGACAAATGTTAAAAGATGTGCTAAGGGCCTCACGACTCAAATGTGTATTACGCACATACAGCAGAATGCAGAGTAGATGGAACGGTACATTACAGATTGATGGAAGCTGCTGCCATTTTTGAATGCAAGAAGAAAACTAAGTATAGTGGGGAAATATCTATTTAGAAATGTGTTCCCTCACTTGCATTCTCAAGTGGTACAGTCATCTCACTGCACATTCGGACATTTGTGGCTTTCAGACCTTCACTTGGACCATACTGCCTTAAGATTATGGAATGCTACACTGCATTACACTTCAAACGACCGTGCAGCTTCTTTATTTCAGAATATATCTTGTATTTGATTTGTGCTTTGCTGTGTCCATGTTTCAGTGCTTTTATGAAAATGTATAACTTTATAAATCATCTAGATTACCTATACAAAATAATCGCCCTTAAAACTGTATTCTGGTCTACTTTTTCTATTTACAATTAAATATCTTTTCCACAAGTGCGTTGTCAGGTCACTTATTTTACAAAAAATCAGTTACAGCCACACACATTTCTTTTATAATAATAATAGACACTAGAGCAGCTTTCACCAACCAACCTGCTGTTCTCCAGATGCGCTAGCCTACAATGCCCCCCATCCCCCAGTTAGCACTGGCTGGAGGACACTAGGCTAATGCACACCTTAGAGACACTTGGTAAGGCTGCAGGTGCTGTTCCCCTTCCCTCTTTTCCCACATCCTGTGGCTAGAAAAAAAAAAATCAGCTGGGGACACGGCTAGTAGAGCTGCTGTTGGAAAGCAACTGCCATCTCAGGAAACCTCAATATTTAATGAGTGGCATGACGGAAGTGGTTAGATTTTCTTTCTCCCTTTCCCACAGTATCAAAATCAAGTGACTCAAATTATTCAAAAAAGAAAAAAAGATGGTGCTACTTTGCACAGCTCATAATTTATTGGAGTAACTGTAACAAGAGGTTATGGTCAGTTCACTATTTTTAAAGTTCTAGGCAAATCCGGACAGGTCTGGTGATAGTTATTCACCCTGGTAGACAAATGGGACACAGGAAGCAGCATGGTATTGAGACAGCCCATTGATCTGTCTAGATCAGTATTGTCTACACTGACTTTCAGCAGCTTTCCAGGGTTTCAATTAGAGGTTGATATTCAGAGGTATGACTCTAAACACCAGTTTCTAGGCAGCAATAAGGCTATTGCTTTTTGGATCCTTTTTCAGGGCAGAGACATCTGGTGGAGCACAGGTGGAAGGAAGATGGTGGACCACATGGTCTGACCCAGGCTGGCTCTTAGGTTCTTTATAAGACAGAGATACTTTGCTGCCTTCTGGCAAAGAGGTGGCAGTGCGAACAGGCTTGTCAGGAATGTCTTGTGAGCGAGGGTTGTAGAGAATGGTTACCTAGTCAACTGTAGTTGGTGATCATATTGTATGTCTACCATACTTTGTGGGCAGTATCACACATTGAAGCTTCTTAAGTGGACAGCTAAGAATAGATGGGTTGCAAAGAAGTGGACCGCACAGGTACTCTTGTCAAGGAGGGGTGAGAATGCAGCTATTCACCTGGGAAATCATGCGTGGCTCACTTTGTTGACAAGCTTGAGAGAGTGTTGCCTGTTGCTGAGAGAGGTGATGGAGAAATACTTAAATTATGCATAATCATCCCCCAAAGTGTAGGTGACTATACAAGAGGAAGGCTTCGGTAATATTTAGGTGTGAGCCCCACTGAGCTTAATGTCATATCAGCATACTTAGATTTGCACTGAAAGTAATGTAGACATGGTCTTAAACCAAGATGTCCGCATGTGCAACATGTCAGAAAGATGAATAATTTCATGTGGAAGAACAGCAATGTACCACATACCACATAACTTACTCAACAAGTAGGTGAGGCAGCCTGGCCTTTTGGGCCCCAGGGCACATTTGGGAAATTTGAGCACCATCACAAAATGGCTCCCCAAAAGGGGTGTGCCTAATCACATAATGCTAGCCATGGTGGCAACTAGTTAAGTGGAGAAAAATAGCAAGGCTAGAAGAAGGATGGAAGGGAAAGAACATGGAAAACTGCCTGACACCTCAGTCTTCCACAATCCACACGGACAAATCAGCCTTGCTGTTCCCTCTCTACACCCAGCCTCTAGCCCTGCTATTTCACTATCCCTTTTCTCATCATTTCTCTCCCTTCCCCATCTCTAGCTGCCTTCTTTCCTTTTCTCCCTAGTCTTGCTCTTTCTCTCTCATTCATCTCCTTTATTCGGCTGTTTCTCTCCAGTCCTAGTCTCCAGCCTTGCCATTTCTTCCTCCTGCACTTCTTTTTAATATTTTTTAATTCTGCTAAATAATAAAAGAAGAAGGTAAAAATAGTGAGCAGGAGAATTCTGTAAGTCAACCGGGGTTCCTGACAGGATAACGGGATAGAAATATAACAAAGAAATAAATACTTGTATGTTTTGTACATAGTGTTTGTAATTTTTACTAAACTGTGATTAAGAATTGGTAAATCTGAGGAAGGGGGCAGAGAACACACTTCACCAGCCAGAATTTCCCCACCACCTCCTCTTGGTCCTCTGTGCTCTAAAACAGTAATTGTTGCATTTTGGTTTCTTGGATTGTGACGTCCTTGGCATTTGCTGTTCCTACACTGTTTGGTCAGTCACTACCCTTTCTGAAACAGACATAAAGCACATCCAGTCCATAAATGATTGGAGCGCTGAATCCATGACGTTTTCTACTAATGACAAATATCTATTATGTTCATATACTGAGCTGGAGCCATTCATGGCCATATGGAGTTTTCCCAAGGCATCAGCTACATGGAACTTCAGAGCAATTAACCAGAAATGCTCCATCTATTCATACAATTGCTATAAGCAAACATGCCCACCTCTTTAACTTGCAACCCATTCACTCCAAGCACAGCGTAACTATAACAAAACACATGTTTGCATCAAGTAATATTTGCCCACTCTACATTTCAATCTCCTCTATCTAGTTTCCTTTCTGAACAAAACTTAGTTATATTTGTTCACTCCTGTTGCGTATTTATTGTTCCAAACTGAAATTGTAATGACCACCATTCTTTTCCATTGCTTAGTAAAACAGCAGGAGTATCCCTATAGTTTGCCAGCTTTTCAAATTACTTAATTAGAATGTTTTTAAAACCCTTTCTGAGTGCTTAATTTAGAAAAATCTTCAAGTCAAGTAATATTTATTTGTTTAAAACATGTATATGCTGCTTCATGGTGCTCACAGAATAATGGAAGCCAAACAAGAAAGATGTAGTGGCACAGTCCATCCCCAGCTGTACACTCAGCTCTGTGTGAGAGCTGTAGAGAAAACTGAGCGTTTCAGCTACTGGGTGGTATAGAAATTAAATAAATAATCTGGGAGATCTGAGTTGTAGTCCCCACTTAGCCAGGCAAGCTCACTGGGCAACTTCCGGCCTGTCACAGACTCTCGGCTCAACTTCTCTCGAAGGGTTGTGGTAGGCATAAAAATGGAGAACTCCATGAGCCACCATTTTGAAACAGAAGGAACCATACCAAGCTGTTTTATATCAGGTCAAATGATCAGTCCATTGATGATCAATCTATTAATATTGACTGTAGCAATTACATGGATGAATGATTATATAATTCCAGTGCTTATGAATTATGTTGAACTTGGAGGCTTGTGTCCATTCTGCTCCTGAAAGGAGGCACTCGGATTGCTGCCTCACAATGGTTATTATCTAGGCAGCCATTTTTAGACATCTGGATAAAGTTCCAAGGGTGGGGAGATAAGAAAATAGGATGCTGACGGCAATTAACTAAGTCCTCATTCCCAGCCTACTCGTGGGATGGAGAGCTGGGCAACGAGGAGCAGCCAGAGCTGAATGGCTGGAGTGAGCCTGCCTACAGAAAAGAGAAAGTGAGGCAAACTCTGAGATTATGCCTGCAAAGCAACAAACCATGGGTTAAAATCCCCTCCTCTGCAATAACCCAGATTGCCAGGTTCAGACGCTTCAGGAGGTTTTTTTCATTGGGAAACAGTGTAGAGGTGGCAAAGTAAACATTTGTCCTTAACTAGATTGACCAGAAGGAAGGACTCCCTGGAGAAAAGCCTAATGCTGGGAACAATAGATGGCAAAAGGAGAAGGGGACGGGAGAGGACGAGGTGGCTGCATGGAGTCACTGGGGCAGTTGGTGTGGGCTTGGGTGGACTCCGGGGGACGGTGGAGGACAGGAGGGCCTGGAGGGATGTTGTCCATGGGGTCGCGATGGGTCGGACATGCCTTCACAACTAACAACAACAACAACAAGATTGACCTTACATAACTGATCATCTTTTGGAACGCCCTAGAGGCCTGTCGCTGCAGCTGGGGGCAGCCGCAGCTGCAGTCATCACCATCATTATTACTTTCCTTCTCCTCCTCCTCAAAATGAAGAGACGAAGGGGGAGTTGCTTGTTGCCATTTCATGGCCAGGGGGTGTTGGGGGAGAAGGGAGGGGGAGGAGGAGGAGGGGGCAGGTTCATGCTCCCATTTGAGGATCAGGGGAGAGAAGCAAGGGCTTTGGCATTACCAGCAGGAATAGATGTACTTGTGCCTATTGGACTTTGAAGCTGCAGATGAGCAAGAATCTACTTCAATTCACTTTTGATGAGAATTCATCAAATAGAGAATGAGAGAGAGATCAAGTCTGAACATTAAACTTGAGTTGGCCATGCTCTATTTTCTAACATGCCAGAACTTCAACTCAAACATGGATTGGAGCTCTGCACATTAAAAAAATTATCTCATCTTGCAACCTACATTTTAACTCCATGTAGGGCAAAGAGCGGCACTGCAAAAGTTGCCTTTTCTAAAAGCCATTAATGAGACACTGCATTCTGGTTGTCCTGAGACTCTGGTGAAGGAAGGGATAGAAACACTTTTAGTGAAGTAGTTGCTTACCGTGAATTTCAATTCCTTAACAAGAAAAGTAGCTTAAACAAGAAGCAAGTCAAAGTTAAACACTCGTCAATTCCATCAATTACTGTGCTATCCATTTTGAAGAAATAATGGACCTCAAATTTGTTTAATTGAAGTTAGGCTACATGTTCCATTTCTACAGGCATAACTGACTCTAAATAGATGCAAAGCCCAGTGTCTAAATGACAGTTGTTCTACATACCACTATGATCCCAGGGTACTTCCAGATAAGGCTTTTAATGAGAAATTGCCCTGCCTCATTGACAAAATGCTGCAGGTTAAGCTCATAACCTTCCCAGGTTTTCCCACTTGTATTACCATTATTTCTTATCCAGTTTTAGACTTGCACAGAGTAGATCCACTGAAACAAATGGAACTTAAGTCTCATTCATTTGAACTGGTCTGCTCTCCATAGGGCTAAGCATTGGCTACTATCCTTTATATTTCTTCCGTAAGACCAGCCTAAAACCAACTGGGAAAACTCATTGCAAAGAGAGACAGGGCCTTCTTGAGCTTTCGTTTCTTTTGTTCTCAGT